ACACACACACACACACACACACACACACACACACACACACACACAGAGGCACACACACACACACACACACACACACACACACACACACACACGCACACAGAACACACAGCATATCTTAGCAGGACACGGAAATCTCAGCAAATCAGTGCAGCAAGCAGAAATACTAAGAAAACAGCAGAAATCTCCGACTGATTCTGTGCGAGTCATTGCAGCTCCCAGATTACAGCAGAAATCTCCGACTGGTTCTGTGCGAGTCATTGCAGCTATCAGAAGACACGGGCTAGCAGAGGGACATCATTCCAGTATCAGGAAGCAATTAATCATTAATGCCTCTGTCTCAGGCTTCCTCATCCATATCTGACGAAAGTGTTACCTGGGGTTAAGATCTGTCAGGGATGCTGAGCTCAGTTCTGACAACTTTTCAGCAAACAATGAAAAAGAAGATTCACTTAGCTTTTCACAACGAAATGGGTCATGCTCCCAGGATAACTCCAGGTCGAATAGTGAGGTCGCTGGCCACGGATTATTTAGTGAATATAAGGAATTGTTTTGTTCAAGAAAACTTAAAAAAGAGAAAAAAAAAGAGCCCTGGTCTACCTTTCATTCTGCAGAAAGCCTTCCAGTATTCCTTCACTCTGCACGTCACTCCCAAACTGGCCCTCCCTCCCCCCGTCCCTCTGTTCCTCCATCCGTCTGTCCATCCGGTCAGCTTGACAATGATACCTCAAGGTCGCCACCATTTATTGAAAGAAAAACAGATGCATATTTTTAGATTCTTGCATTAAAAAAAAAGATTAAAAAAAATCTGAACCCCTCAGAGAACCCCGCCCACCCTTCCTCTTGGCAATTTCCCTGGCGCACCCCTACCTCCTCCCCCCCCCCCACGCCCTAGTGTTAACCAACCGGGACTATCACCCACCACCATCATGGTGGGGTTACCTCACCAGACAGAGGTCGCGGGCACCCGGGCTGATGAGCAAGATTCCCTGCTCAGCCCTGGTTGAAGCAGAGTCGCACAGACCTATTGTACGTCTTTACATTGCTATGCAATCACTAGAACAACGCCACAGCCCACCCTCCACCTTCACCCCCCCACTCCCCTCCCCTCGCTCCTATTCCTCCTCCTCAGAGTCCCTCCAGGAGTTTATCCCCACCTGCTTCACCTAGCCCATGTGGCTGAATTGTACGCATGACACTGTCAATAAACAAGTCATCAGTTTGAGTCCTGATGGAATCAGTTGGATACAATAAGGTTAAGGCACATGGGGCCTAAAATATCCTCACCTACTTCTGCCTGGTTTTGTGTCTCGTGCAAAAAGCGAATAGCACAATGTCTTCCCCTCCAGTCTCCTGAGAGCCTGATCAATTGCGCGAACATCAACTCCCACGGGCTTGCAAGGAGGATTATAATCAAGTGCCATGTCATCGGAGCTGTCTACATGATGTGCCACAGAATCAGAGCTGTCTATATGCTTATACACAGCCTGAGGTCCTTTGGCACAATGGTCCGCTCCCCCGGAGGAAATCATGGGGGCGACACGGTTGATGCCTTGTGCAGTTTCAACTTCATCAACTTCTCTCACAATCTGATCTGATCCACATGGGCTTATCGCATTGTCACTGAAAGCTTCACACTCATCTCGTCGCATTTGCCGCCGCCCCTTTCCTGTCATTGGCCATGGATCTGTAATACCCTGCACAGGCACGCAAGGCCCACCTTCCGACGGTAGAAGTGGCAGCAGATATGTGTAACTTCGCCATGTGGCAGAGAATGCTGGATGGAAGCTCCGCGGCACCTGCAAACAAGAGTGTTGAAAAGACGACTCAACTTCCCATTCCACAAAACACAAATGCTGTTAATCCTTTCATGACAATTCAGTAATTACGATGAGGGTTACACTCGTAGTCTTTTTCCAAGGTAAGTTCAATATCCTCAATTATAATCTTGGTTGTCTTGGTGTTATGAACTTGGTTGTCTGATGAATTTTATCGCCACTCACACACAGACAGTCTCATACATGCCCATACATGCATAAGAGAGGGGGAGAGAGGAGACAGAGTCCAAACTGCACACAGGTGAAAATAAGCAGCGGAAGACAAACATGCACAGATGGGGAGAAGACACACAGTGTTTCTCACTCTCTGACACAACTCCCAACAACCAATCACAAGAAAGAACCTGCGAAGATCGCAATTGAATTCACACTGATGATGAACCACTCAACCAAATTATCGTAACAGAGTTTGTTCCAGTATCTCGCCACTCTCAGAACTCACCCCACTCTCTATCCTACAACCAGTTAGTAGCGCCACATCAGAATGGCCTCCCGAAGGCCAGCGCCAACCACCCTGATGAAGAACAGGTTCTGCGATGAAGTCTTCAGTGCCGATGAACAACTCTGACGAAGGAACAGGCAGCTATGGCTGCCACCACCCACGAGTACACAGTGTAGAGCCTCGATATAGCCCGGCCAGACGCAGATACCCCAAGGGTAGATGCGCTGAGGATGCCCCAGCTATGGCAGACTCAGGCTGGGCCGGCTATGGTTGCTGTCAACGGCGAGGTCTCAGGATGCCGCCTGCAGACAGTCACCGCCACCAACTTGCTTGGCTTCTCCAACGCTGCTTCGCGAGAAATGAACTGCCAAAAGTCCTGAACCGATGGGCCTAACCTATCTATAGACTACACTAGACCTAGACCGGACTGACTGACCGACCGGTACCGTTGCTGTTTCGGCCTCTCGGCCTCTACCGGACCCGGCTATAGGCTATAGACCGTCTATCAGCATAGGCCACTTAGGGCCTGTCTGTCCTAGGGGTAGCCCGGGCCTGCTATTCGCAGTTAGGGTAGTAGTAGGAAATTCAGTTAGTGTTAGGGCTGTATTTTCCCAAATTTACAGTTATGTCCCTCACGAATTTCCTCACACGTAGGTCTCTCGGTTAGCCCTCAGCCAAACAAAATTACCGATCTAACCCTACCGGTTACTGTACAGCCTCGCAGTCAGTCTCGGCAGTAGAAATCAGCAAGTCATTGCATTGGTCTTACTTCAACATCATTTAGTCTGAATCGTTTGCACAATTTACCAGGGCTGGTCCTCAGATGGACCGGGGACCCCTACCCCATCCGCGGTCCTCCCGACTGGACCGGCCCAGGCCGGTTCCCTCCCGGTCGCCCCCAGCACATTTTCGCTGGGGCTTGAATTTTTGTTTTTGGTGGCGCGATATTGTTGCGGAGACCTCGTGGGGGCGGGCCCTGCCCCGCAATTAGGAAACCGGGTCCTGCAGGCCCCATTTTTCGAAGTTCAAAAAGTGGCCAATCTTGGCCGCCGATCGTCGCAGATCAGCGGCAAATATCGGCCACTGTTTTGAATCACTTCTGGCGAGAAACCGGATTCGCGCAGCGGGGGGAAACGCATCGCGCGTTCAACCCCACTCACCTCCAGTCTGTGCAGCCGCTCCGTCGTCGCCTCGGACAGCCAGCCGCGCCATCGTCGCCACTGCCAGCCAGCCGCGCCATCACTCGGTGCAGCCGCGCCATCGTAGGTAGGTCTCCGCAGGGTGCATCATCGCCATCGTCGCCTCCGCCAGCCAGCCGCGCGCCGACGAGCCACTCCATCACTCCCCCAGGTTTGTTTCTTCTTCTTCTTCTTTCTCCGTGGTCACTCTCCTCGCCCGTTAGCCATAGCCGTCCTCCGCTGCTTCTTCTTCTACCTCCTCCTCCTCCTCTTCTAGCCCTCCTCTCTTAGCCATCGGCTCGCGTTCTTCTTCCTCTTCCTCTTCCTCCTCCTCCTCTTCTTCTTTTCCTCCCTCTTCTTCGTCATCTTCTTCTTCTTCTTCCTCCTCCTCCTCCTCCTCCTCTTCTTCTCTCCCCTCTTCTTCGTCATTTTCTTCTTCCCCCTCCTCTTCTTCTTCTTCTCCTCTGTCTTCTTCGTCATCTTCTTCTTCTTCTCCCTCCTCCTCCTCCTCCTCTTCTTCTCCTCGTCCTCCGTTAGCCATAGCCGTTAATTTTTTTATTTTTATTTTTTCGTTGCTGCTTCAAGCCTTCAACTCCATTGCGTACTTCTTCTTCTTCTTCTCCCTCCTCCTCCCCCTTCTCCTCTTGTTCTTCTCCTCCCTCTTCTTCGTCATCTTCTTCTTCTACTCCCTCCTCCTCCTCCTCCTCTTCTCCTCCTCCGTTAGCCATAGCCGTTTTTTTTTTTCCTTGCTGCTTCAAGCCTTCGACTCCCTTGCGTTCTTCTTCTTCTGCCGCTGCCTCCTCCTCCTCTTCTTCTCTCCCCTCTTCTTCGTCATTTTCTTCTTCCTCCTCCTCCTCCTCTTGTTCTTCTCCTCCCTCTTCTTCGTCATCTTCTTCTTCTTCTCCCTCCTCATCCTCCTCTTCTTCTTCTCCTCGTCCTCCATTAGCCAGAGCCGTTAATTTTCTTCTTCTTTTTTTTCGTTGCTGCTTCAAGCCTTCCACTCCCTTGCGTTCTTCTTCTTCTTCTCCCTCCTCCTCCACCTCTTCTTCGCCATTTTCTTCTTCCTCCTCCTCCTCCTCCTCCTCCTCCTCTTGTTCTTCTCCTCCCTCTTCTTCGTCATCTTCTTCTTCTTCTCCCTCCTCCTCTTCTTCCCCTCCTCCTCCGTTAGCCGTAGCCATTTTTTTTTATTTTTTTTTTCATTCCCCCCCCCCTCCCCCCCTCCCGGCACGCCCTCAAAAAAAGTTTCCAACATTCAGAGTTTTATTGCGGAATCCGACAGATCTCGGCGAGCGCAGTCGGATCCCGCAAATAAATAAATAAATAATTAAAATAAATAAATAATTGGCCGTTTTTTTGGGCCATCTGGTTTGCCGGTTGACCCCCCCTGGCCCGGTCCGGCCCCGGTTGGACCTGGCCAGCTCAACCGGCCGGTTGCCGGCCCAGCCCTGCAATTTACTACAATTACGTACGTTTGATTCTCGATTATATCTTCTGAAATCCCGAGTGCTTCTGAATTATACTATCATAGCCTAATCGTTACCATAATTCATTATAATAATATAATTACGTATCTTCGATTCTTGACTAAATCTTCAAAATTCTACCATCATAGCCTAAATTCTGATGTGTTTTTCGATAATTAGTTTTACTTTCTAAATCTGTATTAATCTCAAAAGATGTGGTGGAGCTTTCTTCATTTGAAACTCATCAAGTTGCAATCTCGACTATTTGGTGGTAGGATTCTTAAGTACTACTGTAATGGCTGAAGGCTGGATTGATCACTCCAGAAGGGTAGAATTGGAAGAGGGGTTGGATAGGGAGCGCTATCCTGCAGGGATTCACAAGGAGGGGGGTGAATGTCTCGTAGAGGGTAGGGGCAGAGTTGGGGGGCTGCCCTGTTCTGGGGCTGGGGTTGGTGGAGGGGTCAACATCAACCCCAGGGGGTGAATGTCTCGTAGAGGGTAGGGGCAGAGTTGGGGGGTTGCCCTGTTCTGGGGCTGGGGTTGGTGGAGGGGTCAACATCAACCCCAGTGGCGGCAGAAACGGGCAAGGGGTGGCGAGGGCATGTTTTAGGAGGGAACTGCGTGTCCTCGGGGATAGGGTCGGAGGGGGTTGGTCCTATATTGGGGCCGAGGGAGAGCGGGAGGCTCACATCGGCGGAGGCAGTGTAGGGCTGAGGGGGAAGGGGTATGGGGAGGGAGGGGTGATCTTTCGAAGATTTTTAAACATCCAATCCAGTTTTTTTTCTCAATTCTCTTTAATTGGTTTGTGTTTTGAGGAGGTGCCAGGAATAGGTGGTATCCAGCAACCCATCTGTGACCCTGCTGAGTTTGGTTGTAATACAGCGGCCCTCGAAGACCGATGCTGGAGCAACGCTGGCCGGAGCCGGAGCAAGGTGGTGCAACTCTGTCACCTAGCCAAAAGGGGGCGTGAGGCCTGGAAGAGATCTGGGAGGCTGTTAGTGGGGGCAGTCTCAGTGGTCATAAGGGTTGGAGCTGGCGCAATGCGGGCCGGAGGCTGGAGCAAGGTGGTGCAACTCTGTAACCTAGCCTGATGGGGGCATGAGGCCTGGTAGAGATCCGTTTTTTTCGTTGTAAACGGCCATACCGGCGTGTTCATAGAGGGGATTGTATGAGTTTCCATCTATCCTTTTTGTGGTTGGGAKGACCTCCGGTACMTCCARATCTGAATTTTTTGAGAAACTTTTCAWCATWAAAAARAGCTCAAAAACARAGGTTCTCRTKTGGTTCTTGGTTGCTTTTGGCAGTCTTGAGAATGCCTTAGGATTCTGGGTACTCCTTGCAACTCATTTTATGCTTCTTTGATGCGTTATGTTCATTGGACTGCAGTTTTTCGATGCCAGAACGACGCTGGCCGGTGCTGGGGGATTGCCCTGTAACCTATTGATAGCAGGAGCGTGAGGTCTGGTAGAGAGATCTGGGGATGCCTTGGGCCGGGCATTCCACGGGAAAACCAAGGGTTGCTGTCGGGACGACGCTGGCCGGAGCTGGGGTGAGTCGTGTTGCCCTGTAACCTAGCAGGGTGGGGGCATGAGGCCTGGGAGAGCTCGGCAGGGAATAAGACAGTGTTAGAGAATCTTAGAGTGTTTTGTTGGGGATTCCAGGGGTTCTGAGCATTCGTAGGACTTCTGTGGATTTCTTTTTTAGTAACTGCTGCTTGAATAGCCTAGAAATAGGTCGGCAGGTCAGCAGTTATTCATGTTTTCTCGAACTTTTCTTGAACTCTTTTCATAGTTCTCAGATTGTTCTTAGCCGAAGACAGGTAACGGCCCTGGTATTTCAAATCATATGTATAATTCCATATGGGACGCTGGGCCCGGTTCCCAGCACGTGTTGCTCCCCACGAATAGATTGGAGCATTTGTGAAAGAAAAAAAAAAAACGCACACATGTGGTTGGCATGGTTTGTGTCGTGAGGATCATAAAGGTATATTGCCCAGACAAGGCATTTTCAATATCTCGTACTTTCCTTATCAGTTCCGGCCTAACTGACACTTGAACCCGGCTTCAAACCTGGCTTTGTACTGAAACTGTCGTTGTGGTAAGTCCTGGATCTTATACATTGTCACATAACTATGAACTAAAAGAGCGCACTCTGCGAAACAAACGGTAAAGATAAGGAAAAAAAGAAGACAAAGATGAGGGCCACTCTGAAACCATTCATTTTTCTCATTCTTCTTTTAACTCCCCCTTCACCGTGCCTCTAACATACAAGCCTCGCCACGTTGATGAAGTTGAGCGGGAGCTGCCCGCATCCCCGTGTGCCATAACGGCCCACTCGTACGCTGTGAGGAAGAGGCAGAGTAAAGGGTGAGGTGATAAACACACAGAAAAGAGATGAAGAGATGAGAAACAAAGAATGAAAAAGGGAAAGTAAGGATAAGAAAAAAAGGCTCAAGAACGAGGCTGTCCTTGGCGGCACAGAGGACACACATTGTAAGGATGAGGTGGATGGGCACATGGAAGACCTAGCTGAGCATTCTCAGCACAACCATTGCCACGACGGCTGGCATCGAGCATGCCCACCATACACTCCCCCGACAAATGGCATGTTCATTGCAGGCCAAAATGATGGAAAGACCCCTCACCACTAAAGACCATGCATTCAGTATAGCGCCCATGGCTGCAAAATGGACATATAGTGTCCGGATGCGGAGGGTACCTGCAGTCAGGAATGGAGGGACAGTCCTCTACACACATGGATGCAGAAACAAAACATGTCATTGTAGTGCTTCTGACAGAAACAATGGCGGCTATATATCGTGTATAGTATACCCATACTAGCCAATCCCCATCCCTTTCTTCCTACTTCCTATATGCCAGGGCCATCGTTGATCGTGATTCTTCATTCCATGTCGCCCAGTCCGCAAACCCCCATTTGCAATCCATTCTTAATCAGCTAATATCATTGAGATTTTCTTAAAGGTTATGCCATCCTTTAAGTTGCTCTCTGAGTTGTGTATGAGTTTTTTTCTCACTTTTTCATTCCTTCCTCTCATTATCCCATAGATCATAGATCATAGATCATGATAGATGTCTTTTCCATACCCCATGTTCTAACCAGGTGCCTCACCTAGCCTCCTTTATTGTTAATGTTCATGGTTTTCCTCGTAAAAAAATCGATCAGCCATTGGTTGCGAAGTTGCAAACTAAAAAAGGCCGTCTAAAAAACAACAAGCACCTATATGAGTCTTGTTGTATATCTTCTTATGTACCTGGGACATCTGGTTTCCTCACTCCCTTCATGGCCCAAGACTTAGTCATAATCTAAAACAGACTATCCATATTCGGAGGAGATGAAGCGACTTATTTTGATACTGGTGTAGTCTATATTCAAACCCAAAGAATGCCATGGGGAATCCACCGAGTCCTTGATTCATCGCACTTTAGGTTTTATGAATGGGTGTGTCACTGTGTCTATAGACTCTATACCAGTGTCTTCTACATCCATGTGTGTAGAAGCACCTGCAGGACAATTTGGCATATATATTGTCGAACAGAGCTGCCCAGTAAAACGTAGGCAAAGGAGGGAGAAGAGGGACAACAAACGAGAGGCTGTGACAAACTGTTTTTTGTATATTTACTATTTAGTAACATAGCAAATTAGCTACGCCGTACTGTGAAGCCCCTCTCGAAGTCGATAGGAAGACAGAGAAGAAAGCTTAACTTACTGAGTGCAATCATGTCAATGGGTGTGGTGTTCTCCGCCCCCAAGTGAACTGGACAAATCGACTGCAAGGGAAAAATTATTAGAGAACATACCACCTCGGCTGGAAATTAGGCCAAATGGAAACATGCTCCTGCAAAGAACCAAGGTCAAGTCAGCACACAAAATAAGTCATGGTCCTAGCTTCTAGGGTCAAGAGTCCATCCCATAGCCTCCTTGGGGGGCGAAACAGTCCTTAGGTCATTTGGCCTGGGCTCAAGGGTCAACATGAGGTGCTCAGGGTCTCTAGAGGTGAAAGAAGGCCCTAGGAAAATTAATAGTCAGGCCCAACCTGGGCACAGAAGTCAGAGAGTAAAAGATTCTCTGGAGTCAACCACGGCCACAGATCACACACAAATCCAAAGGCGCAGTGCAGCTTCCAGAAGCTTTCAAGAGCCGCTGGGTCCAGGGCCTTACTGGCCGCAAGTGAACCTTGGCTGCATCAATCAGCGAAAACAGCCACACAAGGAGGCAACCGGAGGCAGGCCACACAAGGAGGCAACCGCGCTCTGCCACATGCTGCTTTGAGGCTGGAGTGCTGGTGCTGGAGCGCTAGCGCTGGAAGAAGCCGGGCAGAAAGCCAGTGTGAGCGTTAGAGCAAGAGTAGCTATACCCGGGATAGACGGTGCACGCCACCACAGCTCAGTGTGAGCGTGATTCGAAGAAGTTTGAGCGACGGTCACGACTTGCACAGAGTGGAGAGAGAGAGAGAGAGAGAGAGAGAGAGAGAGAGAGAGAGAGAGAGAGAGAGAGAG